AAAAAAAAAAAAAGTCCCACACAGTTAAATGCTTAGGAGCTGCAAAACAGCAAGCCCAGATAAAGGTTTCTATTGCTTAAGATTCTTTTATCAAAAGTTGTCATAGGAAAGGGAAGACACTGCTAGGACATTATCAAATGCTGGGGTTGGGTAAGGTAGTGCATTAGTCAGGGTTCCCCACAGAGAGAGAAACTGGGGGCTGTATGAGAGGGGATTTATGCGGGGAGATTGGCTTGTAGGATCACAGAGGGGGAAAGTCCCATGATAGGCCACCTGCAAGCGAGAGGACCAGAGAATCCTTTAGTTCCATGCAATCCAAGTCTGGGAGCCTCTAAACCAGGAACACCAATGGTGCAGCCCACAGTCTGAAGGCCCAGGAGCTGCTGGAAGGTCACGGGTATAAGTCCCATACTCCAAAAGCCAAAGAATCTGGCGTCTGATGTCCAAGGGCAGGAGGAGCAAAGATATCCTCTCCAGGAGGGAGAGAGAGCAGACGAGTATTTACCTTTGCCTGTTTGTCCTAATGGGGTCCCCAGCTGATTCGCTGGTGCCCTTTCTCAGTGCGCTGACTCACCCGCCTGTCTCCCCTGGAAACAGCCTCATACAAGACCCAGACACAAAGCTTTCCTAGCCATCTAGGTGTCCCTTTCAGTCTACTTGGCACCTGAAATTAACCCTCTTGGGTAGCTTTTGAAATATCCAAAGGGAAAACTAAATGACTAGGCTTCTGATTCAAATGCTAGGTTCTTAATCATTTCTGGTCATATTAATACATGTGTGGTTCAGATCTCTTTTTAAAAGAATAACTTCTAAAGTGTGAATCAAAGAATATAGACTTCTTCATGGTAGAGACTTATATGGATATTGAAGAAATTATATGATAAAAACATTTTTGTAAGTTTGGTTTACAGAGCTCGTTCAAATTCTTTTACTAAAATTCAAGGTTTCATGAATTATTCCACATCTAACAACAAATAGAAATGAAGATTCATTGTTTTAGGGTTTTCTTGCATAGGTTTGCTGAGTCCTTTTGATGAACAATGGTGGAAGTCATGCCATCCCAGTGGAAAGTTACAGAAACTGTCAATTGTTACATCCCAATGTAAAGTTTTTGCATGTAAACCAGTGCATGTCTCTGATTCAATGTAAAATAACAAAATTGCATTCATCATCTTCGGTGTAAAGCAAAGTAAGGGAAGAAAAACAGAAATAAAATAGTAAAACTTTATATAAGTAAAAAGGAAAAAATTTCATTGGCTGTAGATACCAAAAAAATACTCAGAAAGCAACATAGCATGGGAAATAGAAATTAGAAATGGATGAAAAATAATTGGGCCATCACATAGATATTGTGGAAGCAATTTGGCTTAGAAACTAAATGATAGATCGGTAAATAAAGGCTAACTTGGTTGTTTTTTCTTTACGGTCAAGACTCATGAGTATATGAGGAATGAAGGAAGTAAAGATTATGTTTCAGAGGTTCTTGAGGAAATAAACGTCCCATCCTTGTGATAATTTGCCCTTTTCTTCCATTGTCTGTTATTTGGTGGCTGAGATTGGGCTCAGTTGTCCGCCTGCTCAATGGAATCAACTGTGGAGGTCTCTTAAGGAATCGTGTTGCAGGCAGCACAATAGATTGAGTCTCCTTTTTACTACTCCAGTTTTATCCTGAGTAATTCATGTGAGTAAATGCTTGAAATGTAGAGGGCACTATAATTAAAGAGCGTTTAGTCTTCGTGTGCAGTAGTTAAAGGAAAGCAAAGATCATCTTCTTTGTCACTGTTATCCTAATCTCACTTAAGGTAGGTAAATATCTCAAAGATGCTGGAAAACAAAAAAAGGTGTTATATGCGAACCTGCATGCTGTTCTTGAATATTCAATGTATGAGACCTTCATCAACCAAGAGAACTAATTGAAGACACATTTTTTCCCTCCCTTCTTCTTAGGGATCTGACGAACAATCGAATAGGATGTCTGAATGCAGACATATTTCGAGGACTTACCAATCTGGTTAGGCTGTAAGTACATCGTCTCTTTCCAATCAAAAGATAAGCTAGCATTTGAACCAGTACCCACATATTTATGAATACACCTATGATACGTTTATTTCAAGTAGCAAATGTAGGGGATTTAAAATCATCTAACTCCAGTAAGATTAGCACATATCACAAAATCCCCAAACCAGAGATGCTGGCGTGGATGTGGAGAAAAGGGAGCACTTCTACACTGCTGGTGGGAATGTAAACTAATATGTTCCTTTTGGAAAGA